CTGTCCCCACCCTGTCCCCGCCCTGTCGCCTCTCTGTCCCCGCCCTGTCGCCTCTCTGTCCCCGCCCTGTCGCCTCCCTGAACCCGCCCTGTCGCCTCCCTGTCCCCGCCCTGTCGCCTCCCTGCCCCCCGCTCGGCGACACGGGGCTGCCCCGTCCTCCCCGCGTCCCCCCGGCTGGTTCCCATGGCGACCTGTCTATACAGCAGCGACACGTGGGGGTTCCTGCACCCCAACACCCCAACCGGCCCCTGTTGTCCCCAAGACACGAGGTGACCCCACCGGGACCTCTGACCTCGCACGCCCACCCCTCCCCCCTGCAGCCCCCTGAGACGCCTGCAGGGGGGTCACACCCCAGAGGGACCTCCCCTCCCCCACCTGTGCCAGGTGGCCTCTCTCTCTCGCTCTGTCCCCGCACCTGGGACAATTGTCACCTCCCAGATGGCAAATTGGGGGACCTCCCCTCCCCCACCTATGCCAGGTGGCCTCTCTCTCTCGCTCTGTCCCCGCACCTGGGACACCTGTCACCTCCCAGATGGCGACTTCGGGGACCTCCCCTCCCCCACCTATGCCAGGTGGCCTCTCTCTCTCGCTCTGTCCCCACACCTGGGACAATTGTCACCTCCCAGATGGCGACATCGGGGACTTCCCCTCCCCCACCTATGCCAGGTGGCCTCTCTCTCTCTCGCTCTGTCCCCACACCTGGGACACCTGTCACCTCCCAGATGGCGACTTCAGGCACCTCCCCTCCCCCACCTGTGCCAGGTGGCCTCTCTCTCTCACTCTGTCCCCGCACCTGGGAGACTCTGTCACCTCCCAGATGGCGACTTCGGGGCCCTCCCCTCCCCCACCTGTGCCAGGTGGCCTCTCTCTCTCGCTCTGTCCCCGCACCTGGGACACCTGTCACCTCCCAGATGGCGACCTCGGTGACCTCCCCTCCCCCACCTATGCCAGGTGGCCTCTCTCTCTCTGTCCCCACACCTGGGACACCTGTCACCTCCCAGATGGCGACTTCGGGGACCTCCCCTCCCCCACCTATGCCAGGTGGCACCTCTCTCTCGCTCTGTCCCCACACCTGGGACACTTGTCACCTCCCAGATGGCGACTTCGGGGACCTCCCCTCCCCCACCCGTGCCAGGTGGTCCCTCTCTCTCTCGCTCTGTCCCCGCACCTGGGACACCTGTCACCTCCCAGATGGCGACATCGCGGACTTCCCCTCCCCCACCTATGCCAGGTGGCCTCTCTCTCTCGCTCTGTCCCCGCACCTGGGACACCTGTCACCTCCCAGATGGCGACCTCGGGGACCTCCCCTCCCCCACCTATGCCAGGTGGC